TCTAGAGGCTAGTTAGCCATTCTTTATTACACCGGCATCACCCTCAGACCAGGCTTGTGACCCCTGTGCTCTCCTCCCTTCAGCTGTGGCTCTGGGCTGAGCGGGGATTACATCTCCGAGGAGGGTCACTACTGGATTGGCATGGACATCAGCCCCGCCATGCTGGGTGAGCAGGCCCGCCTCCCCCTGCCCGCCCCCGCCTCAGAGGTGCTCCCCGAAGGTGTGAGCTGGTTGCCTGAGCTGTGCTCTGTTCCGTGTAGATGTGGCCGTGGAGAGAGAGGTGGAAGGAGACCTTCTCCTTGCAGACGTGGGTCATGGCATTCCCTTCAGGCCTGGCATGTTTGACGGCTGCATCAGGTGAGTTGGTGTACACGAGCGAGCTCTTTCGCTGCTCCACGGAGCTGCATCGTCTGTACAGTCCACATAGTCCCCGTATGGTGCCTAACAGATGAGCGGGACTGTCCTTACCATTTGCTGTCTTTGCTCTGTGCCGTTTGACTCCCATCTCTCTGGGACAAGCTGCTGAGTTTCTGGATGGCAGAAGCAGCTTCTGACAGCTGTTTCCCCAGCGATGCTTGTCTTTTTTTTTTTTTTTTTTTTTTTTTTTTTTCTGCTGGTAAGAAGTTTATTGCAGCAAATAAAATAAAATCGGGAATATTGTCAGGAGCATTGAGACCTGCTCCAAGGTGTTAAAACACAGAAAGTGTGTTGGTACCATTGCTCAGCTGCAAGGTCAGTCCCTGGGTGAAAGGTCTGATGGTTGGTTTTGGGGTGAAGGGGACAGAAACACTTTTCTGCTTGGAGAAAAGCTTTTCTGCTTTGAGGTGCTTCTTCCCAGCACCTCAGAAAGGTGCTGGGAAGAAGCAGGGACTGTCTGTGGCTGATCCGAACGCTCTGTTCGGGATTGCTCATAGGCACAACCTGCATGGCCCTGCAAGGGCCACAGCTAAGCCCTTGAATTATCGGAGCACCTGGCCTAAAGGGGATGCTTGGTGATTTTTTTGTGCTTGGATAACAACTGCGCCTTGTTGGGTTTAGGCATAGTGAGTCTCCAGAGGGGTTCGTGTAACGGCAAAACAGGAGGCAAAGCTACGTGGAGAACATTAAATCGCTTCCCAGAAACCCAGCTCAGCGCTGGAAGTGAGCTCCAAGGGGGGTGACAGGCTCTGCGAAGGAACTGATGCCTCAGCATCCCGCGGGTCTGGTTTTCTTTTTCAGCATTTCCGCAGTGCAGTGGCTTTGTAACGCCGATAAGAAGTCACACAGCCCTCCGAAACGCCTTTATCGATTCTTCTCAACTCTTTATACTGCCTTGGTGAGTGTCAGGCCCCCCCAGTCAGGCTCTGCCTGCTTTTACATCCTGGCTGGTGCGTTCTAGCAAGATATTTCAAGTTGGGTGTTTTAAGGAAGTGCCGCTTTGAAACGGAGGGCTGGCAGGAGCACCCGGTTCCTATCTCCTTGCCTGCCCGCCTGGTGTCTCGTGCTTCTCTGATCCCTGCTGTTACCCCACCGCTGGGCTGCGGAGGAGCTGCTCTGCCGCCTGAGCAGCTCCCCTGGGAGAGCCTTCCAGGAGGCTTTGGGGAGGTGGGTGCTAGTGTCCGGGCTAGGAATTCAGTCACGAGAGGGGTTGCCTGCCTGGGGCAGGTTTCTGACTGACTTTGTTTCCTGTAGGCCCGAGGATCCCGAGCCGTCCTGCAGCTGTACCCCGAGAACTCAGAACAGGTACAGGGCGGCAGGCAGGGGGGGAGGAGGTACAGGCAGGGACGTTGTGTGCTGTTTAGGGCTCTGCATGCACCGTGTTCCTCCAGATCGGGTCTGGGCCTCTTGTCTTTCCTGCCATCTGTAAAGCTTTTGGGGAACCCCCACAAAGCCTGTAAGGAGAACACCCTGTGCAATTTCTGGTGCTTCACAGATTGTCTTGGACTGAGCCTTGAAATCAAAGAAATTAGCAGGACATGATCTGAACCTGCTCTCCTCGGTTTTCCCCTGCGTTGACTGGGTTTGAAGACTGGCCTGTAGTCATCAGCACTGCACTGTAACTGCCCAGGGCTGGAAAATCCAGCCCAGTATCCCTCTCCTAGAGAGTCTGCTGTGCCAATCAACCCAGGCTAGGCTGAGGAACGGGGAGAACCAAAGCAGACTGGTGTTGGGATGGTACTGCAGGACCGGGAGCTTGGGGCAGAGTGTAACAGAGCAGGAACGACTCGTCTTTGGCATGTGGTCGAGCCCTGAGGCCTCCTGGTTGAGCCCAGAGGCCTCCTGGGCACTGCTGGGGGATGACTGTTAAATAACTTTTGCAAGTGCTTCTTTTTCCAGCTCGAGCTCATCACGGCCCAAGCCATGAGAGCTGGCTTTACCGGGGGAATGGTGGTAGATTACCCCAACAGCGCCAAAGCCAAGAAGTGAGTCCTGTGTCTCAGTGTATGGGTGTGGTTGGGGTGAGGCCTGGGTTTAGCGGTGATTTTTATTTTATTTTTTTCCCCCCAAGCTGTCCTCTCTGCCCTGGACTGAGGTTACAGCTTTGATCTGACTCTGCTATAAGCAATCTCAGTCTTGCTGGGGATCGCAGGCTGAATCTCAGCTTCGTGCTCCTTGTTCTTTCAGGTTCTTCCTTTGTCTCTTTGTGGGGACGTCTGGCACGTTACCGAAGGTGAGGAGCTCCGTGAGGCAGCAGAGTTGCCTTCCTGGCTGCTGTGGCAGAGCTGTGGGCGAGGGCAGGAGCCAGGCAGCAATGCACGTGCAGATGGGACGTCATTTATACCTTTGCTGTCAGTCTCGCCGACCCCTGCTCTCCCTGAGATCTGGTTTCTTTCCCACAATTTTTGGAAGACCGGTTTGTTCCTGCTACAGTCCTCCCCCTGGCAGAGCCCTGGGTTCCCCTTAATGTCGATGGCGTGACTGTTCGCTCTGTCTGCTCCGGAGGAGAGCAAAACTTCCCAATTTTGCTTTTCAGGGCCTTGGTACTGAGTGTGCTGATGGAGAAGAGATACGCCAGGCGAAGTTCACCAATGAGAGGTACTGAGTAGGGGGTGAAGCTGCAAGTTCTCCCCAAGCCAGGAGTAGGGGTGGGGGGTATAAGGGCTGGATTTTGCCGACTGAGGACCACAGCGCTGCCGTGTAGGAAGTGACTGAAGGGAGGGGACTGGGAGGATCCTTGGCAGCCAGATGAGCTCTGCTTGATCTTGCTGAAGGGCCCCAGACGCAAGGAAAGGAACAGGTTAGTTTGGAGGGCTTTGCTGTGGTGTTGTGGGGCTGTGGTTGATGCTTGGAGCTGCAGCTGAGCATTTCTGAGGTGTGCCTTCTGGCCAGCCCGTGGCTCTCCAGCTCAGCGCTGTAGCGTAGGCCAGTGGTGATGGGAGGGGGAATGTTTACAGCGCTGGTGATACCAAGCCTGGCTTTTTTATCTCAGGGAGGCAGGCTGCTGTGCCTGAAGCCTTGTGTTCCCTTTCTTCAGCTCTCAAATTCTTTGCTTAGCTCTGCTGAGCTGTGGCCTCGGGGGGGGTTTCTCCTACTGGCCAGGTCTCCTCCCATGGTAGTGGTGCAGGGAGGAACCCTTCTTGCAGCCAGTGGGAGAGACACAGAACAAAAACCAGAGGAAAGTCGTCGTGGCTGCCAGGAGCTTGTGGCTGTCATGTTTTCCTGCCTCTGACACCACTGTAGCCCGGGGGGTACCCGGTTTGGGAGGGCAACAGCAGAGCTGGCAACTTGTTGGGAAGCCAGAGGCTTTGCTTTGCTCGGAGTCGAGCAGATGAGGGGAAGGTGGTTGTGCTTGAGCCCATCTTCCCCCGAGATCCCAGAGCCCAGCAGGCTGCTGCTGTGTCAGGTATGGCACAGGGTGCCCCTCGGCTCAGAGCCAGGGCTGGAAGCAGCCTCCTCCCCCAGCGCGGCTGGAATTGGGACTGTTTGGCCACCGGCCCCAGCGCTGGCTGAGCCTCTTTTCCTCCCAGGGCTGGTGGTTTTATGAGGCAGAGGGCATGCCCCGTTCTGGGGGTCGATCCTCGAGGGCAGGAAAGCGTGCCCCAGCCCCTCAGTTCCTCTCCACTTGCTCTGCAGGACACGGTTCAGAAACGCCAAGGGCAAGTCTGTGAAGAAAAGCCGGGACTGGATCCTGGAGAAGAAGGAGCGCAGACGACGACAGGGCAAGTAAGTTCAGCTGGGTCCTGCCTCGGCTGAGGCGGCCTGTGCTGCTCTGGCCTGCTGTCACCTTCAACCTCTTGCCACGAACCCGCTTCCCTTCCCCTCCCGGAATGACCTGGGGGTCGTGCTTAGCTGCTCCCCGCTTTCCTACCCAGGGAAGTGCGAGCAGACACGAAATACACGGGTCGAAAGCGCCGCCCTCGCTTCTGAATCGCTCTGGACGTTGCTGGTGCGGAAGATGGTGGGTTGGTCCCTCCGGCGAGCCTCCCGTGGACGACCCAGATGGACACCCCAGGCTTGGGACTTGCTGGGACAGGTCATTGTGGCTCTTGAAGGTGTAAACTGGCTCAGGGGCTGCCCAAAAGCCAACGGCACAGCTTCCAGCCCTGTTTTCCTGGTGAAGGGAGAGTGGCAGACAGTGCACTTGGCCACTTGGTGTCTGCAATGCCATTGCTTATCTTCCTGACTGTGCAGTGAGCCCTCTGGAGCTCCAGGTGAGCCAAAACGTTCTATCCAGCCTCCTCACTAAACAGTCAACGAGTCACAAGTGTCGCTGGTCTCTTGGGTCCTGCCCTTAGCGCAGGGGAATCCTGGGGTGGGAACAGGGCACCTACTTCCCTGCCAGCTTCCCCTCTGCCCGCAGGCAGGGGGAAGGTGTGTGTCCCATGAGGGCAAAGCTTCCTCCTGGCAGCGTTGTGATTCCCGGGGGTGCATCAGGCCCACCCCGCGTGCTTTAGTGCTCCCGGGATGCTGGGGGGCGGTTCCCCGCACCTCAGCCCTTGCTCCCCATCACCTCCTCCCTTCCCCTGAAACAGAGAGGTGCCAGCTGGAGCTTTACAGTTACAAATGTTTATTCTACATAAAAATTCCACAAAATGGGAAGCTGTTTTGCACCCAAAGCTTTGGGAGAAGAAAGGGAGGCTAGCAGGGAGGGAAAAGGTGAAGGAGAAAAGAGGCAACATACAGTGTCATCCAGCCCAGTGAGACAGAGCAAGCCAGGGTCAAGATCCACATAGAAAACAAGGACACTTAGCTCACAGTACAGCAACAG